TTCTTGTCTAACATTCTGACTGTCTGTCTTTCTGTTGGTATGCCACTCTGTTTTCAGTATACTTGACAGTCTATCTATCTGCCTGCCTACCTTTCACCCGCTCTCTCTCTCTATATATATATATATGTGTGTGTGTGTGTGTATGGTTACCCCAGGTGTTGTAAATTTCAATTGTAGTAAAATCCCGTTTTTAATTTACACATTTGTGTTTAAAATATAACAATAAAGTTTATTTAGTCTTGTCCAGGTCTAAATAACCTGAAAGTATGCTCATGTTACAATTTCAGCTTTCAGGTGTGTATTGAAAAGCAAATGTTACATTCACAATGGCCTAAATATCTAGTTGTAAAAACTGATTACAGATTTTTCCTTATAATTTTATTTTTAGGACAATTTTGATGTCATAATTTGCCTAATATTTTGTCATTAACGAATTCTATCATTGAATAGTACCTTTATTTATAATATCCTTTATGCATTTGCCCATTTTTCAAATAATATCGAAACGGTTTGTTTATTCACCAAATCAGCTTTCAGTCGCTTTACTTTAAAGGCAGACTGTCTTCTAGAAAAAACAAACCTGTCACTCTCTCAATTAACAGAAAATAAGTTTCAATTTTGTCTTCAGAAAACCAAAATTCAGTAAATTTAGCGCACTGTTCGCCTTAAAAAAGCTTTAAAAGCTTTTAAGTTATAAATCTTTACTGGGAACTTTCTGTATTTTAGAACTTGCACAGTTTGTATTGCAGATTTCGTAGTTCGTTTAGCAGTTATCTCTAAATTATTTACGCATATACGACGTCCTGACAATCATATGCAGAAAATTTAATTCAACAATTGTTATTGAAATTCGGCATTATTCATAGTTTTTCTCTATTACTCGTATCGCTTCCACAGGCCTGCGATGGTTTTATTCTATTGAAATGTTTCCGTGTTCTACAGTAATTCCTGTGCGCTGAATCCGAAAATGATATCCATTTTTCTCCATCACGTACAGATTTTTCACAAAACGTCATATATGCTTTTACATAAGTGAATCATTTTCATTGAAATCAAGTCACATTTTGTTTGGCTTAAAATGTTGACATCCATTGACTATATATTTCTCAATACCAATCGTGACGTGAGAGTCTTATTGATCGTTCTAGAACCTACGAGGAACCCACCGCTAGTATATAAACGGTTAACATGCAGCATGACGTGTCGTTTCTGAAGAGTATTTGTTTGTGCGTGCACTTAATGATTAGGTGAGAAATTTGGGCTTCCAAAGGATTTTTCAGGGATTTTGGGGTCCAGACTTCGGGGTAAGAACTTACTTTCTCCAGGGACATTATATTACTGGTACAGAAATCGTGAGAAAGAGTTTATACGATACTTTTCATAAGAAAGTTCACTGGTTTATTGCAACAATATTGCTGAATTAAGAACAATGCTAGGAGCTGCAGTCTATGAACCAAGTGAGTGGTGATTATTCAATGATTCGTCCAAAATAAGGCTAAAAGGTGTTCTCGTTCACAATGGTAACATATATGCATCTGTTCCTATTGCTCATTCGGTTCACTTGAAGGAAACGTACGAAAATCTCGAACTTCTTCTTAATAAGGTCAAATATAAAGAACATGGTTGGCTTCTTTGTGGAGACTTAAAAGTTCTTTGTATGTTGTTGGGTTAACAATCCAGTTATACAAAGCTTCCATGTTTTTTGTGTAAATCGGACAGCAGAGCACGAAATCAGCACTGGATAAAGAAGCAATGGCCACGCAGAGTCAGCCTGATACCAGGATCAAAAAACATTGAACGTGAAAGTTTGGTTGACACAAAGTCCTATTACTTCCACTTCACATAAAACTGGGCTTAATGACGCAGTTTGTAAAGGCTTAGACAAAAATGGCGACCGTTTCAAGTATGTATGTGGACAATTCCCAGCTCTTTCAGAAGCAAAACTTAAAGAAGGAATTTTTGTTAGGCCCCAGATTTGGAAATTGACTTTGGATGAACGGTTTGAAAGGACAATAAGGAAAGTTGAAAATAAAGCATGAATTACCTTTAAAATGTTATTGAAAAATTTTTAGAAATCAACAAAGACCCAAATTACGACAATATTGTCAATAACATGCTCGATACATTCAAAGAGTTGGGTTGTAATATGAGCTTGAAAGTTCATTTCTTACACTCATATATTGACTATTTCCCTGAAAATCTCGGTGTCGTCAGCGAAGAACAAGGGAAAGGCTTCACATCAAGACATCAGGGAGATGGAGAGAAGGTATCAGGGAATGTGGAACATCAACATGATGGCTGATTACTACTGGTCATTGAAACGAGAGGCTCTAGATGCAATACATAAAATAAAGAGTAGTTTGAGACTAAAAGACGTATATTTCTAAAACAAATCAGGATGAATGAGGATGCATATTTCTTTGACATCAATGTTCTTCTCTTTTCTTCATTTTGTTTGTATTTTTGTTAACAAACGTAATAATAAATTTTCATTGTGGAAAACGAAATATTAATTTGATCTAAGTAAGAGTTTAATTTATTCCCGATTTGTAAAAAATTTCTTATGTGATATAAAAAAATGAATATTATTTTCGAAATCTGCATAGCTGAATTATGGAAAAATCCATTATTAAAACCAAAACAATTTTTATGAAGTTGAAATTCGCAGGCCGAAAGTACGATTTACTGAGATCAGTAAACATCCAGTAATTCATATCTGCCAAATACTTCTTGCTAATATATGTACTTACACTTAATTATTTTTGACACTTCACGTATTGTTATTGTCATACTTTTGTCCTTAGGATAACAATACAAAATAGCTTTACTGGAAGCTGCTGAAGAAATGATAAAATTGTAAAACTCGCACATGAATGTTTTATTTGTTCCTACAAAAAACAAGTTAATGAAATAGCGTAATAATGTCATAGAGATCACCACCAGTCGATGTAAACATAAACGGAATTATACAACTGTATTTATATATATACATAGTACTAGTGCAAGCCGTGTTTTGATCAGCTGTTTCTTTTTACTATTCGTAAATAAACAGATAAAGTTAGTTGTTGTCCTTCAAAATGTTTGGACTTAAAAGAGATGATTGAATAGGAGTGATATTACTGATATAAACAGATGACTCAAGAAGAGCACAAAATTAATCAGGTTATATCAAACGAGAAAACGTGACTTTCTTCAAATGGTTTCTGACTTTCTCTATAACCTTCAAATGTTATATTTTGTTTGTTTTTTCAGACTCTTAACATATAAAAAAGATGCACGCCTACCTACAAATCATTGATTACCAAGGTATTTAGTAAATCACTTTCCATTTATTTCAATATTTCAAATTATTTAATAACACCATAACTTATATATATATACAAATATCTGAGTGTTCTTGGTATTTATCGAATCATCGTAATTGTATTTATGGCATTAAATTATCAATGCTGTTTGGGACATTACTTGTTCATTTGTTTGTTTATTTTAGAGCAAATTCACATTGGGTTATTTGCTGTATTCACCGCAGGGAATCTAACCTCTGATTTTAGCGCTGTAAGTCCATAGACTTACCGCTGTCCCACTCTTGTGTATTAAGATAGTTTAGGTAATCAAGATTTATATCCATTTACATTGCCTGTATTTATATCCAATCGATTATCTCTGGTTTTCGGTATATTTAGATGCGTAACACTTCTAAAATAGTTCCAAGCGTAAGATATATAGAAACGTCTTTCTGTTGTTGTTTTAAATCCGCTCCATAACATCAGCAAAACGTTCCCAACTCTGTTCTTTTTTTTTTTACTTAGTTTACTGATTTGCACTAATTCTTTAGTTTCCAGACTATATATAATCTGTAGTAGTTATCCAACTAACATATTTCCCTCCTATAAAGTTCCTCGGTGGGACAGCGGTAAGTCCAAGGACTTACAACGCTAAAGTTCAGGATTGAATTCCTCGTGGTGAACACAGCAGATGGCCCAATGTAGCTTTGCTATAAGAAAACCTACCAACCAACCCTACACACACACACATATATATATGCAATGATTTATTAACCTATTTCGTTTAACTTTCATCTTTTATCAAATGGTTATCGGCTAACCAGTGAAAATAAATTGAATAATGAAACCATAACAATGTTTCTTTGGAAAAATATATATGTAATTTAGCCAGTTTTTTTCTGTACAAATCAAATAATGGGTTCAAGTGCCAAGCTAGGCGATTTCTTACATACATGTATTACTGTGATTAGTAGTGTTACTACAAAAGATAGGCATCCCGTATAAAATGTAACTGTCCCCTACATTTATTCCCTCTTGTCGGCAATTCTTAAGTTTATCGCCCCCCCCCCCCCATATACACACACAAGTGCGAGAGCTGCAGGTGGGGGGCATACTTACGCTAATGAATGTGATCTAAATGTTTGAACATGATTTTTTAAATTCAATAGAGTAAGGTCTAAATTTCCGTTAAAAGTAGCTTTCACAGGTATTGAACAAAATGTTACAGGTCATCAGATTTTTCAAGTACCTAAACGTATGTCTTGCAAATCATTATCTAAAGTGAAATTCATTATGTTCTAAAGATAAAATCGTAATACATCAATCTATAGCCATGAACCTACTTCCCAAAGTCCCCTCCCCATTATGTCACTTCTCCTAGCTGGAGAGTGCGTGTATCAACACCGTGGGTCAGGGCTATTAAAAATAAAGTTATCAGATGTAAAAACATGATAACGACGGGTGTTATAACATAACAGAACTTGGGGAGCGCTACGCCGGTTACACTGCAGTTAGATATGACAGATTTAGGTGGATGATTTCTGAATGGTATAAAATATGGGAATAAAATCTTGTCAAGCATTGTCAGACTTTTCGTTCGTGTCATTAGATCTGAAAGTGATGCTCGTCCTTACCGTTACTGTTATTTTGAATACAAAACTATTGTGGTAATGAACTTGACAGTATTACCTCCAGAGCTCATCCCACAGAACATACCTGGGAATACATTCAGGGTTGATTATATCATTTCACCCACCACACACACTGGATCAGCTGAAAAATGTCTTGGTGAAGAAATTAGGAAACGTTCCCCAAAAATATTCCGGAGTAAAGCTGTTTTAGTTGAATGAGGTGTACATAAGCAGATACAGGCGCTCCAAAACTGTAAGGTGTGACAAGTCAGAGGACCATGGACAGTTCAAGGCTCGATGTGCTGCAATGAGAGGACAGTAAGTTTCACGTTCGTTAAGACTGCGAGATATGATTTAGCTACTTAAAAATATAGTGTACTGGTCTCCCAATTTAATCAATAGACTTACTGCATCAAGGACATATGCCACTGTATTGATCATTCAATTTGATCAGTAGACGTACTGTATCCGAGATATATGCCACTCATGTGTTGATCATTCAATTTCTTCAGCAAAATTACTGCATCAGAGATATATGCTATTGATGTATTGACCCCTTAATTTGTTCGGTAATATTACTGCACCAGTGAAGTTACTAAAAGTATTGTGGTGGTTCCAGCTTCTCGTTATAGATTTTATGATTTTATAAATGATGGCGACTTAAATCTCCAATTAAAGTACAAAGTTTTATCAGATGTTTTATTGATTTAAGTAATTTCTTTAGAGTAGCCAGCAAATCGGTTTTGTTATCGAGAAAACACGTTTCATGATAAACAACACATGGTGACCTCAGCTTGAGAGTTAACAAGTCGACTGTGTATTCCAATTGCATAAGATATGTCCGGGTTCAATCTAGGGTCATGTCCTTATCGTGACATGTCTAAAAAAGGTTAGAGAATTTTGTACACTTTGTCAGAACACCCCTTATTTGGCTTCGAGGCATTCACAATGTGATGCAATATTTTACCATTCAATAATATAAAAACAGATGTCGTAAACACCATACCGTCTTAGTTACATACTTTGTTTACTTGCCTATTTGGTGAAGTTTCTCTCTCGCTGTATAAATGACTATACTGTTCATGTAAGATATTTCATTTCACACTCTGTAACTAAACTACTGAATTATTAACATTTTACAGTTTATATAATGAGTTACAATGCATATATAATAAACATAACGAGCTACAGCAACTACATAATGAACATAACGAGTTGTAATGTCTATATAATGAATATAACAACTACAGCATCTACATAATGAACATAATGAGTTGCAATGTCTATATAATGAATATAACAAGTTACAGTATCTACATAATGAACATAACGAGTTGCAATGTCTATATAATGAATATAACAAGTTACAACTTCTACATAATGAACATAACGAGTTGTAATGTCTATATAATGAATATAACAAGTTACAGTATCTACATAATGAACATAATGAGTTGTAATGTCTATATAATGAATATAACAAGTTACAGTATCTACATAATGAACATAATGAGTTGTAATGTCTATATAATGAATATAACAACTACAGCATCTACATAATGAACATAATGAGTTGTAATGTCTATATAATGAATATAACAAGTTACAGTATCTACATAATGAACATAACGAGTTGCAATGTCTATATAATGAATATAACAAGTTACAACTTCTACATAATGAACATAACGAGTTGTAATGTCTATATAATGAATATAACAAGTTACAGTATCTACATAATGAACATAAGGAGTTGTAATGTCTATATAATGAATATAACAAGTTACAATTTCTACATAGTGAGCATAACGAGTTGTAATGTCTATATAATGAATATAACAAGTTACAGTATCTACATAATGAATATAACGAGTTGTAATGTCTATATAATGAATATAACAAGTTACAGTATCCACATAATGAGCATAACGAGTTGTAATGTCTATATAATGAATATAACAACTACAGTATCTACATAATGAACATAAGGAGTTGTAATGTCTATATAATGAATATAACAAGTTACAATTTCTACATAGTGAGCATAACGAGTTGTAATGTCTATATAATGAATATAACGAGTTACAGTATCCACATAATGAACATAACGAGTTGTAATGTCTATATAATGAATATAACAAGTTACAGTATCCACATAATGAGCATAACGAGTTGTAATGTCTATATAATGAATATAACAAGTTACAGTATCCACATAATGAGCATAACGAGTTGTAATGTCTATATAATGAATATAACGAGTTACAGTATCTACATAATGAACATAACGAGTTGTAATGTCTATATAATGAATATAACAAGTTACAGTATCCAAATAATGAACATAACGAGTTATAATAGCTACATAATAAACATAAGGAATTATAACATCTAAATAATGAGCATAACGAGCTACAGAAACTAGATAATGAGCTTAAAGAGATATAATAGTTGCATAATGAACATAACGAATTATAATATCTACACAATGAACGTAGCGAGTTACAGTATCTACACAATGAACGTAGCGAGTTACAGTATCTATATAAGGAACATAACGAGTTACAGTAACTACATAACGAGCATAAAGAGTTATAATATCTACATAATGAGCATAACAAAATACAGTTTCTAATAACGAGTTATATACGTTTTTACATAATTAACAAAAAAGTAACGGCATCTACGTGATAAATATAATAAGTTGCAATATCCATATGAAGGCCATAAGAATATTGCTCGCGTACAAAATAGTATTATTGAAGTTTAATTAAACAAGATCAAGATCACTATAATACCCATCAGTGCCGAATAATTGAAACTGAAAGAGCGTGTCAGGCCAAAGTCTGCTGTTACAAACGGCAGGTTATCATTGTAGAAATGTGTTAAAGTGAATTTTGTTTCATTGTGTGCATAATTCAATTGTTACCGGCACTCATAACAATCTATAAAAATGTAATAGTCTGTTGTATGTCCACGTAACTACTTCGTAGGGTTTGGATGGATCTTCACCAAAATTAGTATGGAAGTTCATTTTCAGTTTTGCATTTTACGGTTTTTATGGGTGTTTTTTTATCACTGCCTCACCTCTTGTAGATGCATCTTCACAAAATTTCGTATGGAGGTTTATTAGGTCCAGGGGAGATACATACAAATTTGCGGTATCACATTTTGTGTTTTGCAGTTTTGATGGGCGTTTTTTACAATTACATAAAAGTGAAGCAACTTTTTATATCCTAAGATAACCTTTCATTAACCGTGAACTTACATAACTTCCATCCAGGGGACGGGTACTTCAGCTAGTATCAAATATTCTAGTAGCAGCTTACATTGCTAACACCAGTTTGTAAACATTATTGTTCATGTCACAACTGTGCGTATTTATTAAATTTGTTGTTTTTAATGCACGAACAAATTTTACTACAAACTACTGCTGTAACCTAATTATGATTTTAGTTTTTAACTTCACAGATCACAGACGATTATCTTAGTTGTTAATGTTTTATTTGTAAGAACAGTAATTCATTAATAATCGCAAAAAAAACAGCAACTTGAAGTGAAAACGTAATTAACAGATTGCCAGCATTTTGAAACAAATTATCAAGAAGTAATCAACGAAGAGCGATGCCATACCAAGAAATGTTATTGTATGTACTGCCTTGATAGCTGAAAACCGCCTGGATTATTCTTCCGTAAGTAGAATAAAAACATATCTTTATTGAGGAATAATTTTCAAACATTTTCATGTAGGTGTGTTACATTCTTGGAACAGGTTGTAGATAGTCGTGACTTGGTTGAATCATCACTTTGAATAAAGTTACATACCTTATCTAGCCAGGATTCTGTATACCATTTCCCCTGGGGTGTAGATCACGTCCAAATGAAGGTTGGTAACAGCTAGAAGTTAATTGTTTCTAACATGCTATGAGAAAAATCACTGATGTAGATAACCAATGATTGTGGGATAACGCAGTAGGACTATGGTCTGACCAAAAGTGAAGTATTAACACAATCTAACCAAGGTAATTATTGTGACATTACTTTGCTTGTACATCATTGTAAAATATATCATCCGTTTCAAGTGAGACATCTATTTCTCATACCATTCGTCAAACAGTACAAAAAAGTGTACATTTATCAACAAAGTAAAACATTAACAATCTATTCTAGTACAAAATACTTCTTACGACTTTCAAAGGCACTGAACACCATAAAACTTTTGTGTGGGTGTTAACTTATTCATTGACTAGCCTTACAGCTAAAAATAACCGTCAATCTCACAAGTTTTGAAAGACACAAAAAAAATATTACATCGAGAAGACTCTGAATTTGTGTACGCAAGACGTCTATACACAGTATTAGGACTAACAGAGAATATAAATAACTAAAACGATAACAGCATGTTCTCTTATTCATAACGTATATTGCATAAGTTACGAGTTACACCATTCTCTCTTATTACAAAGATGGATCGAACTCTATTAAAATGATGTTTCTGGTTCCATGCTACATCTGAAACTACATCTTAAGTCGTTGATTCATAGTCAGTCTTTCAGCTATGATTACTCACTATTACCTGGAACCGCAACTTTAGATATACGTTTTGCAGACGTTCTATTCTACATGCATATCAGCTTATAAGAACACGTTTAACCTGCAAACCAAAAGCCCATAGAAGTTGCAGCAAGGGATAGATAGGTATGCGGTCGAACGAAATTATTGTGATCTAGTCTTTTCTGCCATCTTTCGCATGAAAAACGGCAGTTGATTACGAGGTGTGGCTGGAATCATGTGAACTTTTGAGCCTATTTTCTCGTGAACGGTTCTCTTTCACAGCCATATCGTTTACTTTGCGGCTAAAAGGACATTGATTTGGATTGGCTTGGAATGTGGTTTCGGAGCCTGTTGTTGATGTAAACGCTCTGCTAGTTTTTCCATTTTTTGGAGAACACTGACGGTTCGCTTCTCAGAAATGTTGTGTCTTTTAGACTATGTCGTTTAACAATCTCACTATAAGATTATCTTTCCTGAAAAAAAGGCTGTAATATATATATATCACATGTATACTTATGGCAGCATTACACTGTAAAACGGTTGGAAAGTCGCCATGAATCACACATGCGTATGAGCTAGACATGTCACTGATAGGGATTAAGTAAGCCTCAGTATTTCCTCTCCTGGGGTCAGACATGACCTAGTGATTACTGCAATGAGCTACCGATTGAAAGGTCCAAGATTCGAGCTGAGACACACCGCTCATCGAGATCTTCATTTTCATCCGCGGTGTCTTTATAAATGCAACTCTCAAACACTCACTCTTGTTATTCGGTTAAAGGCAAGCTGCATAATAACAGCTTCTGCTCATAGCTTTCTTCAGGTTGTAGCTTACTGATTTCATAGTTTTCAAGCTGTGGCTTAGCCTCTTCATCTCATAGTTTCAAGTTTTGGCTTAGCCTCTTTCTCTCATACTTTTCAAGTTGTGACTTAACCTCTTTAACTCACAGCTTTCTTCAGGTTGTAACTTACTTTATCTCATAGTTTTCAAGTTGCAACTTAGTCTTTTTACATCATAACATTTCAGCAGTATCATAATTAGA